CACCCTGGGTAGAGGGCTATGGCGTCACAGCTCACAGCAACCTCCAACTCCTGGGCTTAGGCGATTCTCTTGCCTCAGCCTCCTGAGTAGCTGAGACTACCGGCGCCCACCACAACACCTGGCTATTTTTTATTACAACTTGGCCGGGGTCAGGTTCGAACCTGCCACCCTCGCTATCTTGGCTGGCGCCCTACCCACTGAGCCATAGGTGCCACCTGAAAAAAAGTTTGGAGTCAAAAGTTGGACTGATCTGGGTTTGAGTCCTGGCTCTGCCATCTCCTAGCTATGTGATAACCCTGGGGAAATAATTTCTCTTTCTAAATTTCAGTTTCCTCATTTATTGATGAGGAAAACAGTTAGATTTGCTTTACACTAAAGGGAAAGTCAGTGACTAGGATTCAAAAAGCAACTAGCAGAGAATGAGCACTCAAAAGCCAAAAACAGAAAAGAGAGTAGGCCTGATTCTCTGGGTAGGACCCAGCTAAGTCTAGGGATGAAGCAATAGGAGGGGTATTGTCACCCACGTACTTGCAGGTGTTCTCACAGACGATGCCGCTGTTGTACTCATCTGTCCCATCACAACAGTCTGAGACAGAAGCAAGGGCTGAGATCAGACCTGGCAGTACCTTCTCCCACCCACTGTTTCATTCTCCTACCATGGTTCGTCCTTACTCACCGCAAATTCCATCATTGACCCGGCTGGAGGAGATATATAGGGGCTTGTAGCCAGTATTGGTGCAGTGGAAGCTGCCATTAGGACAGGCAGCTGTGCCTGTCAGGAACAAAGGAGGGGAGGTTTACAGTGTCCACGCAGGGCAAGAAATGTCCCCATTCATCCACAGTTATAACCCCAATAACTATACGCTTGCACAGAGCAAAAGAAACATAAGACCAATCAAGGGAAGCAAAGAGCTATATGCTGTAGGCCCGAAACAACCTTCCAATGCTCTCTCCTGCTTCCCCTCACTGAGACTGAGGCCCTCTAACACTGTTCTCCCTTCACCTTTTTTTTTTATTAAGAGACAGGGTCTCCTAATTTCTGGCCTTAAGTCATTGTCCTGTCTCAAGCTTCCCACAGTGCTAGGAATACAGGTATGAGCCACTGGCACCTGGTCCCCACCTTCATCTCTGTCTCCCACTTCTGGGGATTTGCCCGTGCTGGCCCCTCCATCTGTAGTACCTTCAGGATTCAGCTGAAAACTAACCTCCTCTGAAAATTCTTTCCTGACCCCCATGCTGGTGGGGAAAGGGCCTCTCTGTGTTCCCACAAGTTCCCTGGCTATAACACTGAATTTTGTGCCTGCTTTCACTCACTCAGCAGGGAGCCATGTAAAGGAAGGGCCTGGCATTCAACAGGTGCTCAATAAATATTTGATGAATAAACAGAAGAAAAGCTCACCTGGCTCATCTGAGCCATCCTTGCAGTCACAGTAGTCATCGTTGACCTGATCAAAGGGGATGGTGGCCGAACCATCCAGGCAAGTGAAAGGCTTGGACTCGTCGTAGAAGTGATGGTCTTGTGGGGGTAAGAGGCTCAGCCCAGGGCAGAAAGGGGCCTTCTCCACCAAATACCACCTCTGTTCCCCCCAAGCCCACCAGCTGAACACTGCTGGTAAACTGAGGCAAAAGGCTGCAAATGCCTATCCCAGGGCCAAAGGTTGGCCCCTCCCACACCCAACCCCCAACTTCAGCCTTGCGGGAAGATGAACAAGACTCACTGGTGAGGGAGACGCCTCGGGGCCTCTTGACCTCCACCGTCCAGCTAAGCGGTAGCAGCAGCAGCGGCAGCGGCAGCAGCAGCATTAACATATTCTACTGGAGACTGTGAGCCCGGAAATGGGTTGTACTGGAGGAAATAGGCTGCGGGGAGATGCGCTGTGACTCTACGCTGCAGCAAGAAAAGGGCGCCCGGGCAGTGAGAGAGGGCTACTTCCAGCCACCTGGATTCCTCCACGGCTTCTGGACAATAAGGGTTTTATAGGACGAGAGACTAGTCTCCCCAATCCTAGCCAGTGGGGGAAAGTCTCACTTTGCTCAAAACAATGTTGGGGACCTCAAAATCTCCACTCCCTGTGCTCAATACGGCCCAATTCCCGCCAATAGGCCAAAGGGCCTAACACCCCCTAACACGCACGAACCCTCCGGCTGTCCACTACAGTATAAGTGAAATGCCCTCCTACTCGCTAGTTCACCCACACGAGGCCGAGGCAAAGGTCACTATACACCGCGCCCCTCTTGCCCAGCAGGCACGGTTCCTGCCGTAGAAAGAAAGCGGAAAAGCCTTGCATACGTTACTTCCGGCCTTACGTCGCGTACCGGAACGGCGGCTCAGAGCCGCCATGGTGGGAGAGGCAAGCGCAGGGGCGAAGGGGCGGTGCCAGAATCCAGACGGCCATCTTGGGCCGGACTGTGAAGCCTTAGAGAGAAGATAATACTGAAAGCTCGCTCTTAATGGCGGCGCAGTGTACCTCCATTTTTGGAGTGGCGGCTACCAAAGCCGGAAAAGTTCCTGGAAAATACCTGCGAACCCCCGGCTCGGGAAGGAAGGGAAGGGAGGAAAATGGATGAGCACGTGATCTACAAAGTACCCGCTGCTGTCCTGGGGCGCGAGTCTGCTCCGCCCTATATTGGGACCGCCCCTCGTAGCGTCAGCCAATGAGAGTAGCGGCATCGAACGCCGGTGGTCTCCATGGAAACACTGGAGGGAGGAGGGGAAGTGGTTACCTAGCAACTGGGAGATGCTGAGAGGCCCCGCCAAGCGGTCGGAAAGTGCATTTCCAGAGCCTGAGGAACCCGAGCTGACAGATCCTGGACAGGGGCGACAGACTTCTAGTTGTCCCCTAGCTCCCAGGAGCCCTCGGCTCCAACCCAGTCATGACGTCTCCCCTGTGCAGGGCGGCCTCCGCCAACGCCCTTCCTGCTCAGGACCAGGTTACGACTCCATCTTCCAAGGCCAAAAACAAGGCTTCAGCCAAGCCCAGCCACCCCCGAGGCAAGGGCGCGGTCCAGGCTTGGCCTCCACGCCATTTCAAGGCCGGATCCTTCCGCCGCGGTATGGGGAAGCCCTCTGTGCACTTGCAGGTGGCTGAGTTACAAAGAAAGATACAACTGTTAGGTAAGATGGCTCCAGGGAGCACTAAAGAGTCAACTGGGTCCACGCAGTCTTCTGACCAGGCATAATGTGACAAAG